TCCACTTTAATAAGCAGAAGCAGATTCATGTGCTTTCGTTCTCGGTCTTTTTATCGAAGGTGCGATCGCAATCGCATACTTTACGGCGACACGACAGGAGAGGGGACCTAATCAAGCGACCGGACATCCTCGATGTTTACGACGACGAGACGTTGCACGCCGCTTTTTCCCTTTTTTTGTCGTAACGCTCTCACCGTGTCACTCCTCTCGGCGCCGCTGCTAATACCGGATCCCGTCGCCCTTTCGTGCCGAACGCGACGCGTGATTTACGACCGAAGGATGGATCGGTCGGGGTCGACCGGCCGCACGTCTATTCATGTCCTAATGCCCGCCCGATACGGCCATAACGACGGAATGTATTCATTCTGCCCACTTTACGACATGATGATCGCTCGACGAATTAATAAAGCGAATAGTTACGCGAATGATAAATTTAATCCCAGTTTAGTATACTAATTAATTATTTCAATTGTCGACATAGTGAAAGTTACAGCTTTCATATACATTCACGATTTAACGGATAGAAGATAAAATAAATATCTATATATCGTGATGTTTGTAAAGAATATAACGTGATATAAAATCAGTTGAAATTTAAGAAAATATTCAACGACATGTAATGGATGACAAAAGTTCGGTCAATATGTAATTTTATGATAATTTTTATGTACGTCAATCTGTTTTTCAGTTTATATATATTAGAAGTTAATAAAAATTCCCTTATAATTAACTTCAGAACATGACAGTATTAAAATATATGTATTAAGATAATTGTATATTAGATTTTTATTTGTACACTGAAAAAAAAATCCTAAATTTAAGTAATATTTTCTTGAATAATACAAACAAAAAGTAAACATTTCTTTAACGCAAATAAATATTTATTCAAAAACAGAAAGTAATACTTAAATCAAATAACATATGTTTACATTTAGTAAATATTTATTTGCAATAAGGAAATGTTTACTTAGTATTACTATTCAAGAAAATATTATTTAAATTTAGGAAATTTTTTTCAGTGTAAAAATTCTTTATCTGAGCAATTCAATAAAATTTCTCATTACAGAATTTGAAAATATATTATTAAAATAGAGAGAATTAATTTTTCATTGCGATAAAGTGTCGCATACGCTGACAAAAATGCCCAGCAAGAACGACAACGCGAGAGCGATCTCGTGACCGCGTTGGTGATCAGTCAGTCTCGCTGGCTTGCATTTCCAACAAATGGTGACTCCTTCATCCCCTAATCGCACGGCCGGCTTGAGGATCGCGTGATGATGCCTTTAAACGGGGCATCCTGTAGCCAGTTAACCATACAGAACCGACAACATTTGCCTAAGTGTGTACACGCCAGCTCGGACAGGATCAACTGCGAATAATAGTTCCTTACCTCGATCACATCAGGCTTACCCACGCCAAGGATGAGAGAGTAGATACTCGAGCGATTTGTCCGTAGGATAATATCTGCGACCCGGCGATAAATAATCTACAAGAGAGAGAAGGAAATGTTTTTGTGTTATTTATGAGTTAATTATATGATAACAATGATGTATATACTTCAGTACCTTCCCGCACGGATCATTTAGGATTAAATTCTTACGAACAGAGATGATAAAAATATGATTAAGTCTGTTATCTTTCCAAAGTTCTGAAGTAATTTAAACAAGCCAATTTTGGGAATGAATGGAACGTAAAAGAAACGGACGATGGCTAAGGGAGAATATTCGGAACGTCGGCTCGGATATATTCGGTACAAGAAGTTTATTAGGGTTTATTTACAAGGGAGCAGCTTGCACAGCAATAGGTGTACGCGTTTCTCACAACACAAGCATTAACAATGTAACGCTCTACACTAACACTAATCGCCGCGGCGATAATAATCCTTTAGGTGCTCGCAGAGAACGCGCGAAGTGCCGCTCTGAGATCCTTAACGATCCCGATTCTTCAACTTCTCGCTAGACTCAACTTAAATATGAATCGAATGTCAAAGTCATCAGTTCTTCAATCCACATAACACACTTTATCCAACAGACATCCTGGGAACATCCTTAGGAGGTCCTATGGATGTCTTTAGGACGTTCTTTCGAGATCGGTGCTATGTGGAAAACGATTTACTGTAAATCGAAGTACTGTAAATCCCTTCAGTCAAAACGTGTCGCGTTCAAGGCGTTCACTTCGCGCTCACTCCACGTCGAAGTATGGAATCGAAACATAAATAACGATAACAATAGCTTGTGATACGAAATATACAGCTTATATTACAAGAGATAGAGGCGTAGTTATCTTATATCGCAAGTATATATATGTATACCTATATACAAGTAGACTTTAGTCGTCGTACAGCTTAGTGTTGCTCTTAAAGATGTATATACGTGTATTATGTACGGCATTGTACGGCAATTATGCCACCTTGGGAACCAGGATGGTTACATATGTACAATCCGTTCGTATTCTTGCGCGTACGATCCGCTGAAGATCACTATGATCTTTGCAGATCGTTCGCTCGATTTCGAAACGACACGCAACTGTGTTTCTTGTACACAAAGATACGCAGCTACAAAGTAACAATTCCGATGAAATATAAAAACGGGAACGCACAACGAAAATGTTTTCGTTCGAGAAATCGGATTATCCGATTTGGCATATCATCGAAGTTTTTTCTTTGACAATGAGAGTAGTCTGGGCGATCAACCTATAAAATATGCTGCAAGATACATGTCAGGTAATGGAACTTAAACTCCAAGGTATCCGGCATCTCTTCTGCAAGTGCAAGAGATTTTTACGCAACGATATTTTTTTTATTGATTTATTTTCAAGTGCGTCTTTAGGTATCTTGACCATGGGCGTAACCAGGATTCTTTTAAGAAGGGAGTAAATTAAATTTGAGATTTTTTAACCCCGGGAGGATTGTCAGATTTGTTTTATTTTTAATGAATTATTAGTAGGTAAATCACACATATATTTAATTTATTAATTTACTTTATTATTTTTTTTAATTGTAAATTAATTCTTCAAACTGGAAAAACTTAAATTTAGAACACTAGTCATCTCCGATTCTCAGAAAATCTTTCTAGAACTTTCTTCTTTTTTAAAATTAATTTCTTGTGAATACTCATTAAAGTCATATATAGAAATGTCCGAATGTTTCGGCGCTTTATCATATTTATATTATTAACATCTCAAATCGATTGTGGTTAATGTTCGAATGTTTCGGCGCACAGTCACATCTGAGATAATTAAATTTAAAAAAATTAAGAATTTGTATTATATTCATAACATTTAACTTTAACCGATTATTGGCGTTCTTTATATTTATCATTAAAGTCTGTTTAAGAGCTTTAATTACTTCTGTTCTTCTTTAAGAATTAGAGGTACCATGGGTCTTCCTTGCTCTTCCTGGCTACGCCCATAATCCTGACTACCAGGATCGCGGCGACCCTATCGCTTCCGATCGCTGATCAAGGCAAGGATATGTACAGATCGGGCTTCTCTCGGTCTCAGGGTTTAGTCAGGGAGACAACGGAATCGCCGAGTCACGTGAGACGGCTCGGGTCCTCTGTGCTTTGCCACCACGCGAAAGGTCGAGAGTTCAGCCGAGAGAGGCAGTATTCAGACTCTCGGAGAGCGTGAGCTTTACGTTTCTTTCCTCCGGTTCATCTTTGCGGCGCGGCGCGAGAAAGGGACGGAGAGCGACAACTCGCCGTGGCCAACTCGGGAACCTTTGACACTACAATTATCGTCGCTATTCACGCCGGATTTTGCACGTTTCGTCGGTACCCCGGACTCGCGGCAACCTTCTTCGCGACATCTTCCGACGCTGTGTAACACATGACACGCGCGACGAAAATCGATCCCCGTTTTTACGTAAACATTTCATACCAATTTATCACTTACGCATGCATATGAATGTACGAATGCTCACGTTCATCTTGTATTAATCTAACATACGGAATGGAGACCGGCTCCTTAATAATTCAAAGACAAAAAACGTAATAATTAATTGTACGATAAATATTGCACTTTTAATAAGAAAATTCTGTAACTGCTAAGAATTCTGGAACTCTAAAAGAAATGAAATACAAAGATTTATTTTAAGTAAAAATAAAATACTTATTATTTTAAATTAATAATAATAATTATTATTAATAATATTAATATAATATTATTATAAGATTATATTATTAATAATAATCGTCATTATTAAATTGTACATCAATTTAATTCATGACAAGGTAAGCTTGGGTACTATGGCCATGAGCTGTAATTTCTCCAATAATTGCTAAATAAAGCATTTTTGTAGTCATTCTAAAAGCCTACGACTATCTTTTCCGTATGCCCATCTTATCCAAGTTTACCTTATTACAATTCTAGTTTCAGTTTGTGATCGTGTTTCAAGATCGACATAATCGGCACGCAATTTGCTTGAACTGGAAAATCCATGTAAAAATTCATGCAAGAAATATTATTAGGCACCTCCGCTTTGACCGAATAACACCTATTTCTACCAAATAGATTAACTTTAATCTTGATTTAACTTAATTCGGTAGAAATGGATATAAGGCTCTTTTTACACTTTATTTGTATTATTTTTTAAATAACTCGATGGAAATCGATCAGCGCGCGCAAAAGTTTCGTCAGTTTTTCAGTGAAAGAAGACGAATATTGCAAGATGAATTAATTGTTACATTTCGGTCTTAGTCGAGAAAAGTTGACTTTCATCACATCGAGAGGAATCTATTCCTCCATAAAAAACGCAACGCAATTGTATAATCCAATTGTACGGAATTTCCTTTTCTGTATGAGAAAAAGCTCGTGCAGTCTTAATAACATGTTTGAGACGTCAAACTCCACCTGTTTTTTATTCCTGCATGAGACTGTACTAGAATTCCCTTCTTCTCCTTCGCCAAATATCAAACATATACCTATCTCACTTTAAGTTCCAAAAGTGTACACTAGTTCAGCCACAGGAAACTGATCTATCGAGTCTCTCTAAAAGAAAATCGCGATCATTGTTTTCCTAATGAAGCCACGAGGGACTACGAGGGCGAAAGATCTTGGGCCTCCCTGCTGAGACTATCTGTAGGCGACGGCGTGGCCCTTCTGGACGGCGACGGCGACGGCGCAGCCGGCGTTGAGGACTTGGGGACAGTCGTGTGGTAGGGCGAGAATCGGTTGTGAGCCAAGGCAAGAGGCGACGGATAGAGCGGTCGAGGGGCTGCTGGGCCTGTTGGATTCTGCTGGGAACTGGATGCGACCAGCTGCTGTTGATGATGTGCCGCTGCAAAGATAGTAGATCCAATCGAAGAGGCCCACCATAAATGACCTAGTTGCTGTTGCTGTTGATGTTGCTGCTGCTGATGGCTGGTGCCCGCGGCTGAAGCACCCGGATAAACCAAAGTGGGATTGACCAATTAGCCGCCCCCGCCCCCCGCCGCTCTCAACAGCATCTGAGAACGCGCAGCCCACAAGGCTTTCTCCTCGAGACTGAGATTGTTCACGGCGCCTGCCTGGAGTTGCTCCATTTCGAAGGGAAGTCGGTGCGGAAACCTCAACGATTGCTGTTCTGCCAGCATTGACTCCATCGTCTCCCTAAAAGGGAAGCTGCTCCATTATGCATACCGTCTTCTAGTCGCGAAATTCTCCGAAAGGATGTTGAGTCAGACTTTTGTTAGCCATGACAAGCAAAATTTACTAATGAACTGTCCATTTCGTTTTCAAATTTTCGTTTTATCTTCTCTGTCATAGACTTCGACGCTATCATGATTAATGGTCTCCTTCAAAGCTGGTAGCTATTACTATACTTATAATTTTACACGCCAATAAATAACTTTTACTGTACGTATTATTCAAAAGAAAAAAGAAAGAGATAAATCTTTTTCCTACACATCAATACAGAATTGAAGCGAAGTCAACATGATTGATTTATGTAGTTCCAAATTCTTTTACTATAGACAATTTTATCGAACTCGGCACCGTTTAACATCAGTTAGCAAAGAGCTTACCTTTCAAAGTCCGTGAGACGAGAAGAATCCCGAAAGCCCTTGGCGAACGGATTACTGTCGATCTTGAGCTTTGTGATCTGTAACAGGCGGAAAAATGGCCGTCGGTTAGTACATGGCGGACAGGAGATTGGCGATCGGAGAGATCCGGTCGCCCCCGGACTCGCATTAGCATCGGCGATCTCTCGCAAATTCCCCGATCTTATTACCCGACGCGCGACAGCTCGGCTTCGCTTCGGGAAAATTACGTCACCGGACAGCCAACGGCGCGTGGCGGAAAATGGCCGGCTGTTTCGAAACGGTTCGTTCCATCGATCGGGAGTCAACGGCTCGTAAAATTAGAAGAAGGCGGCGAAGCGACGTACCTATACAGGGGAGGAGGGGGAGAAGGAAGCTGGGGAATCAGAGGGATCGGAGAAGAGATAGGGGAACGTCGCTGATACACGAGAATCCTCGCGGGCGTTACGGGAATGAACCGGAAATACACTAGTTTCGAGATTTTTCTGGCAAATAGTAGAACTGCTAGCTGATTCATCACTCAAACTGAAAGATCAGATATTACTTTTGATCGGAACGAAATAAGCGACCGTGATATTATTTAAATGCCATACGCCAGTTAACCCTTCGATACAGTATCTCTGTAGCACAACAGAATGGACAATTCTTCATTTATTGAAAAACGTTGTTGCATGAGAAAAATTATGGGACGTAACGAATTTACTAAAAATAAAAATTTTGTAATTTTGTGTAAATATGTATCGAGTACAGGAGTGTTATAGTATACTATATTAATTGACAAAACAGTGATTTCATATAAAACTTTACTTTGTTAGTATCAAAAAAAGAAGTGATATAACATGACAAGCCTGTAGCCAAAGATAGCAACAAAAAATAATGTAAAAGTGCTACACTTGGAAGTAGATATAAAGGCGTTAGAGTTAACTTACAATGACACATTAAACATCAAACTCAATACATATTTCTGATATACCAGATGTTTTATTTTAATTGATGCATTTCTCAAGAATGACGTAAGATTAAAAAAAGTTTCAGACAAAAGTTATGTGACTTCGAGGGAGACATAAGATGGTACCATTAGTTTAATCTTGGGTGATCATATCAAGGACAGAGCAAAGTCATTTTGAATTTTTTAAATGGAACCTTCCATTTTCATTCATTCATATTTTGTATGCATATTTTAGCGAAGTAAATTGCTGATATATTGTACACAAAAAAATTCATTGTTAAGAAGAAACCTGTTCATTAATTTTCCTATAAAATGATAGCTTCTTTAGAGGTGTCCAAAAAATAAATCTTCGTTTTCAGTAAATAGTTGTAGAAAATGATCTCCTTTCTTTCTAACCATTTTCTTTATAATGGATCTTTATATTTTCATTCTAATATTTTCTGGTACGTTAGCAGACAAAGCTACTTCTTACTGCGAAGGCAAAGAACGCTTTGTTCACACTCGGCACTTAAAAAACCGTCGACTAACACGGTGGTCGACAGGAAGAAATCCGAGAAAGTTTGTCTACGTGTTGGTCTACATATCGTCACGTTTGTAGTAGCCTCTTAAGTGGTTGGGCTGCATTTCCTCTCCCGCTAGTCTCGCTCGTGTGCACCACCCCTACGGAAATCTACCCTAAGTCAGATCTGCACCCTAGTTTAGTGTTTCGCATTACCTACAGGCCCACCCACGACGGATGGGACGAACACAGGTGGCCCCGTTTCCGAGGTCTCCCGACATTGACCGTCTAAACGGTGCCCTTCGCTTAGTATTCTCCCTTTTCGGCGAAATCTTTGAGGACAGATTTCATTGCCTGATTCCCAAGGGATAATACCTGCGTTCCGACGATTGCAAAGTTTTCAAACATAAAAAGATGTGTTGAACCGACAAAATTTTCCGCATGTTTAAGCGCGAAACGCATCAGCTTACGTCGCAAGATACACGTAACCAGATACGTACATCAAAGAATAACAATAAGATAATTCATTTTACAAAGGATTTTACCGTAAAATCTCTTAGTATTTTGTCTATTAGATATAACGTTTTGCGTGTATTCTTTTACTATAATACTTGTATCTGCATTAATATAATTAGTAATAGCATTATCAATTAGTTTAAATTTTAAACTAGAAAATACAAATTTATATCAATTTATATATCAATTTTAATAATATTTTTTTTATACAGATTTACCATTTTTATATAATCTATCATTTTTTATAAAAATATATTCGTTATTATTAACTATATTCGTTACTATTCGCTCTATTAAATTAATAATTATATACCTTTGATTCTTCGAAAGTTGAAGTATCGAAGATTTTAATGCCGAAGTTCTTCTAAACTTCGAAGTTCAAATGTCAAAGTTTGAGAAACTAATCACCAGCTTTAATAAGAAGATAAATATATTTTTCGTAATAAATTGTTTACAACTTTTTGAGATGCTTATTAGTAAATTATTTACGGTTTTTAGAATATTTAATATTGGTGTTTATTAGCATTAATATTATTAAATTACTTGGCCATTTAATTTATAATATTATTATTTCAGATTAAGATTGCGTTTGAATTGAAAATGATTTAGCAGTTGTAGAATTGAATAAATATGTATATATCATATATATAATACATTTGCACAGAAATATTATTTAAGCGTTAAAATCCAATTCAAATCGATAAAGCTTTTTCGTTATTGTGTATTCACATTGTGGTCTTATGACACATTCTCTCTCTCTTTATAAATATATTTTTTAATAAGTTTTTCAAAAAATCAAATTTTTTAACCATTTTTCAGAATGCCAAAAGTGTTAGTCATACTTAAAACCGAGCTTGGTAATTGGTGATTAGATGATGTCGTTAATTAACGTCTTCCCATGCGCGCTAGTGCTTGAACGAAAGAAAATATCGGCGGCACCACATAAAAATGTCAAACAAGCGTAGTGATATCCCTCGACACGAACCCATCTAATTTCCGTCCGGCGAGCCAGCAGGCATAAATCAGTCTTGTCTTCCGGGTCGAGTGTCACGGACGAGATGCGGCACGGTACGACACGCTCCTGCTGCTTCGACTGCTTGGGGTACCGACGTCTTTCGGAAGACCCTCCCACCCGCTACCCGAGATGAGGCACAACACGCGTGTATTTATTTGGAAAAGGGAGCCGCTTGTCGCAACTCCAGTTGTCCATAGGTGGTCCAATTAATCCGCGCTGTCCCAAAACTAGGAGGCAAATGAGGCGTCCCATTTCCACAATAATAAGCCAATTTGAGGAAAATTGTTGCTTCGTCATTTCGATATTAACTTAATACATAAAATATTTGAGTTAGTAATGTGCCATAAAAAAATCAACATATCTACAGATACCCCTTGTGAAAATACTAAGCCCCTATTTTTCAGAGAAGTAATACAGAAAGTTTAAAGAACTTGTATATTTTTATAAATATAATAATGTTATGGAAATAAAATTTATAAGTTATATTTTATCATTTAATAATATTGAATAGAACGGGTAGCTTTAAAATTAATCTAATATTCACAAGACTCTTTTTCAGAATTAATCCAATGTTAAATATATTCCTTCATTTAAATACATGTCACAGATTTTAATTTTTAATAAAAACTCCGATAAGCGAGTCTCGTAACAATTTACATTTGTAATCTTTAATTGACATATATGAGACAGCTATCATTTTCATTCTCCCATCATACATTTATCCAGCAATCGCAATAACTTTACGAGTCGTGGTAAAGAAATGTTCTCGATAAGCTCGTGGACATGCGTTAGCATCTCTTCCCGTGTAACATTACGGACGATAGCGAACGTCTCGGCGACTGTCGGGACTGAAAGTCGTCGCGCGACTTCCAGTTTATCTGCTCGTCGAAAGGTCGCCGCCGTTTTCGCGTCCTCGGCGACGGAGGCAAAAAAAAAGGAAGAGAAAAGGAGGAAGGGAAGCAGCGAGGGAGCGGAGAGTGGCACTCTTGGTGTGTCGAGTGGGTGGTCCAATTACCCTACGGTTTCGCGCTCACGAGCAGCACGTGCAGGCCCCGGTAATAAGACTCTTTCCTTCAAAGCTGAGGCTAAGCCGGTGCTAAGTCCGGGGCCGCCTCGGTTTTAGTTACGATTCCGCTGACATCATTAGCCAAACATCTGGTCTGCCACGACCACCACCACCACACTCGTCGTCGTCGTCGTCGTCGTCGTCGTCGCCGTCAGCATCGTCGCTCCCTCGACAACATCTCGCCACCTCCGTCTACGTTCTCATCTACATCTCCTTCTCTCTGTCTGTATTCGCTTCTCGTCATCGGTCTGCCTGACGATTCGCATCGTCGTCGTCGTCGTCACTTTACGAGCGGGTCGCCGGCGATATTCCGTCGCGTGGGTCTTTGAGATCCGCGAGACGGACTATACCGGACGCAAGTTCAGAACAACTTCTGGTCTTTGATATCGGTGCTTTACCATGTTTTGCCAACCGACATTCTTGTCAAACTCTTTGCTGTACGGTAGGTCTACTGGTTCGCAGTGGCGTGGTGTTTGCAAATTTTGTTCAATTCTACCCTTTTATCTTTAAAATTACTAATTCTCAATTGAATATCTCTCCGAAGTTTCGTTAAAGAATAAAATTTATCTTATGTGTTAGATATAAAGAATAAAATTTCCTTATTCTTCCTAATCTTATTAGCAAGAATTAAATTTAACAAGAAAAAAATATTAGATTATTCAATAATGTTACTGTAAAATTGTAACCTTATAAAAGTCATTTAAAACATGAAAAAGGGTAGTTTTGCTGAAGTATCTAAAAATTTAGCTAGATGTAGATCTTAGTTGTTGCACTATTGAAATAATTATATAGGAGACTCAAGTTGATTGCTAAAATATCAAAATTTTTCGTTGCTCATCATGCTTGAATTTTCTACACAAATATTTTGATGGCCTAACAAAATTATTGTTAGATCTACATCTAGCTAAATTTTTAGGTATTTCAGCAAAGTCGTTTTTTCCGTGAACCTTATGCTTCTAAACAAAACTAAAAAATTAAAATTAATCTCACGTTGAGATTAGCGTGAATCCCAGCGAC